ATTACGCAAAAATGAAAATCGCGAAAATTTATCCACCGCACAATCTATATCTATATATGGATGTCGGGAGCAGATTTTAGTGAAACTGGAAGCTTTTAGTCCTGAACGTGCACGATGGCTGCGAATTTAGTCACGAACGCTATCACCCTAAAGGAATTGATCAGCAAACAAGAAATTAAATTCTTGGATACGAGATAAAGCAGACGACGAAGTTGTCTCCGAGAAATCAAAATCAACGAAGGACTCGATATTAATATCGGGGTTAGACAGTACAAATTAATAGCTTTGGAAACATAGTAAATATTATGTAAATGATTTTGTCAACAGTACAAAATGGAAGAGCAACGTCCATAGACATGGAAGAAACAATCATAGTATATACATTTAACAACGGTATTAAAAGAACTATTATTAAAATTCTAGTATTTCTTATAAAACGATGAAGAGTTTGGGAGACCTGCAGCAATTTCGTAAGTTACCAAAGGTAAGGGATTTTTGGAGAGGACAGATAAGAGATATTCAAAAAGTTGTTAATTATGAGAAATCACACTGATTTCCAGATGTGAAATATATATTTTTCAAAGAAATTTATTTCTTTTGTTATGTAGAGCATCTTTTTGCAACTGCTGGATCTCACACTAATGTAATAATTACATTGAATCAATAGCTTCATCTACCACAAGGAAAGTTGGTGCTCTCTGTCGCACCTCATAGTTTTTCTCACACGAAGTTCATCCTTCAAATCTATAAATCAACCATTCACCCTTGCATGGAATATTGCTGTTATAGGGTCCTCGACAAAATCCAGAGACGAATATGCAAAATCGAAATATTTAACAAAACGAACTACTTTCAGGCTAACCTTAAGTGTAATATAAATAAAGTAAGCTGTAAACGGGGTACAAAAAAAAAAAAATGAAAAATAAAAAAAGGTTAACCGAAGCTTAACCGAAGAACAACGGAAGAACAACTTGCATAAAAAAAAAATCAAAAATAATAAAATTCTGTCAAACGCTCGATCTCGTTTCTGAAGCCAAATAAAAATTATAATTTCGAATTAAAAGATGACAGTCAACTTGCAGGAGTTATTTTCAATCCGTTAGAAGACACTGAAAAAATTGACAGTAATTTTATCACAAATACTTACCTTTTAGACTCAGTGTAATAAATATTGAAAATGTTTAACAAAAAACAAAAAACAAAAACGTTATGTCAAAAGGACAGTTATTTCCTTGACACCGCTATTACTGTATACACTTTTGACTCCCTCGGAAATGTCTATTGATTTTTTTTTAAAAAGCGATGATTAGAATTTTGATAAAGCCCAAACATATGAAAGTGGATTTATGCATTTCCTTTATTCTTGAGAATTGATAACAAATATATCATGCATAATTTATTACCTTATTTTTGTAGTTATTTATAAAATGGTAAATAATTGTTGCAGTATATCTACAGACGATAATTGGTATGTCAGCATTCACATAAATGCAGTAGTGAAAACTCCGGCTGTGATAGTCGAACTCCCTGCCTCCGGGTAGAGAGGATCCCCAGACGATGCTACGTTGAAGGGCTGAGTCTTGTCTCGGGGAAACAGCTACCCGACCCCTTTTTACACTGGGTCTGCGGGGAATTTTTGGCCGAGCCTACGGGTTCGGATACCCCACATTAAATTCAGCCTTGTGCCACATCTAACCGCGTGGGGTGGTTGCTGGATACCCTGCAGTTGGAGATTCATCACCAGCTGTGCTGGTCAAACTCTCTACCTCCGCGCAGAAAGGATACCCAGACGAGACTCTGTCGAAGGACAGAGTCTCGTCTTGGGAAACAGCTACCCGACCCTGTTTTATACAGTATCTACGGGGAATTTTTAGCCGAGCCTTTGGGTTCGGATACCCTACATTATATTCAGCCTTGTGCCATATTTGACCGCATGGGGCGGTTGGTAGATACCTTGCAGTTGGGGATTCATTGTGGAATTCACTTGACTCACTTCTAGCAGTTGACTACTTCATTTACACGCCGCTGTCGAATCTTGTATCTGTTGTTCTTGTCCTAAGTATTATCGTTCATTAGCAACCTTCGTGTGATTATTCTATTCCCTAGGTTGCAACAGTAATAAATATTGATTTGTAGTTGTTTTAAATATTCTGATAATTTTGTAATTTATTATAATTTTTTTTTAATTTCATCCGAGCACGGCAGTAAAGCCACTAAGATAAAAGAACAGAAATAAAGAAAACAGAAGATAACCATTAACATTACATTTAGGTTTTTGAAGATCAAAGTTGACTGGAAAGCAAGAAGCTGAAAGAGAATTCCCCAAGCTAGAAGTCAGAGAGAAGAAACTATAAACATAGGACTTACGGTTACATCTACACTTCAACTGAAAAATAATAACTTGCCGTCAATCTAGTTCAACGCTTAAATTCGTGTACCATAGAGGAAAGTTCGTCAGAACAATTACTATGAAAGTATTTATAGAAAAGGCACAGGGAAGCTACGTCACGGCGGTGGGAAAGTGACTGAAGACGAGATGCCAGGTCAGGGCCAACAACAATGCAGGTTGTTTGGATTTTTATCGAGGACCTCTAAAATCCAAAGGTGAATGTGCAATGGATATTTTCAAATTTATTTCTTTACAAAATGGTAAATAAATCTTTATAAAAGGTAATAAATATCACATTGTACTTGGTTCACATATTTTTATAATCTTGTAAATAAACATTGCCGAGGGAGTCAAAAGTGTATACAGTAATAGCAGTGTCAAGGGAATAGCCGTCTTTTTGTCATATCGTCTTTTTTTGTGGGAACGAAGGGTAAACATTGGCTAAATGTTGAAGTTGTGTTACAAACGTCTCAGTTGTGGGTTGGCTGCGTAGCAAGAACACATCTATTTAAGGAACTAGTCCCTGGCCAGCGCAAGAATCCCTGTGTAATGTTAATAACCTTTGATACTAAGTTCATTAAGTTGGGGATTTATTGTTCTACTTACATATGCTGAAAGTAGTCCCTAACTTAATAACGAAAGACAGGAATTGTGGATAGCCCAAATTTTAAAGCCATACGGCACATAGGGCAGACAGTAAATGTGCGTGTGTGTGTCCACCTTAAAGTGAGGTATATATTCCAAGACCTTCAATGAAATTCTAAAATTTAAATATTACTGAACCCTATATATACTGTTTATACAATACGTACAAACCTATATTATAGTTCAATCCATAAGTTCGGCACAGTAAGATATATTAATTTTCTACGGCTTATCAACCCCTTGCAGGTTATTTAAAGCCATAAAATATTTTTAGATTCTAAGAATTTTTTTTGATATAATAATGATTTAGTGATACAATTATTAGTAACTAACCCATAGATGGGGGGGGGGAGAAGAGATGGAGTCATTCCTTTAGGGTATTTGCGCGTAAGTGAATATAATGAAAGCAACGGTAATTGGAACTTGATTCTCCGATTAACAATTCCGAGCAATTATCAATTACATCACCTGAACATACATGCTTACAGTACCTGGTATTCCCAAACGATCACCCATCAAGGTACTGACCAGGGTCGACGTTGCTTAATTTCGGTGATAACTGGTTTTTCAACGTGATAAGGCCGTAAACCGGATCGCCATAGAGATAAGGTACGTAAGAAATCGGACATTGATTTAAAAGAATAACCTAACAGGATGAATTATAACTGCGACCTGCATGGGATCCGAATTATGTCATCTACGCGAGATTTACCCATTCGTGTCCCGATGAAAAAGGAGTAATTGTCAATATGAAAGCATCGCTGGCCATCATTTTTTACCAGACACGTAGACAACAGAAATGTAGTACTACAAAAGGATATTGAGCAATAACGAAATCTTTGAGAAAATGGAAACAAAAAGAACAGTTATACTTAGAATCAGAAAGAGATTGTTGAAACTTCTAGGGCACATAGTGAAGAAAGACGGTCTAGAAAATTTGTCAATCGCACGGCATATTGAAGGTTAATGAGACAGAGGAAAGCAGCTCATAACCTACCTAACGAACTTGTTTAAATGGTTGGCAGAACAGGAAGAAGAAGAAGAAGAAGAAGAAGAAGAAGAAGGAAGAGGAGGAGGAGGAAGAGAAGGGAGAAGAGGAGGATGAGGGGGAGAAGAAGAAAAAAGGAGGAGGAGGTTGTGAAGAAGAAAAAGGATGAGAGGAGGAGGATGTGAAGACGAAGAAGAAGAAGGATGTGAAGAAGAAGAAGAAGAAGAAGAAGAAGAAGAAGAAGAAGAAGAAGAAAAAGAAGAAGGAAGAAGAAGAAGAAGAAGAAGAAGAAGAAGGAGGAGGAGGAAGGAGGAGGAGAGAAGGAGAAGAAAAGGAGGAGGAGGGGAGAAGAAGAAAAAGGAGGAGGAGGAGGATGAAGAAGAAAAGGAAGAGAGGAGGAGGATGTGAAGAAGAAGAAGAAGAAGAGGAAGAAGAAGAAGAAGAAGAAGAAGAAGAAGGATGTGAAGAAGAAGAAGAAGAAGGATGTGAAGAAGAAGAAGAAGAAAGAGGAGAAGGAGGAGGAGGGAGAGAAGGGAGAAGAGGGAAAAGGAGGAGGAGGTTGTGAAGAAGAAGGAGGAGGAGGAGGGAAGAAGAAGAAGAAGAAGAAGAAGAAGAAGAAGAAGAAGAAGAAGAAGAAGAATAGAACGGATATTTTGCGGGTGTTTCGTTTTGGTGGATATTTTTTATTTGTCAGTGTCACGTAAACGGTACGAATTGTTTGTTTTCTTTTGTTCTCTCTTGATTCATGTCTGCTTTGGATCTCGTCTTACAATAATAACCTGCCATTTGTTTATTTGTTTGTGAAAACCGGCAACAAATAAAACATTGAGCCTTTATCATTCGATTGTTTGCTAATGCCCCCACCCATTGTTTTTTTGCCTTTCTTATTCCGACCAACTGTGGAAAGCTGTATTTTAAATTTATTCTATTCCTTTTTTCGTTGAAAAAGAAAATGTCTGCGCGCCAAAGGAAGTATTCATGCGTAACCTACGCACAACCTTTGATCTGACCAAGTCTTTTCATATCGGCCGATATAATCTATCTATCTATCTATCTATCTATCTATCTATCTATCTATGTTCACGTCTATCTTATCAGTTCCTTAACTGCTATGTGTGGCGCACGCTTGGGCGATCATGTCTCTTTTTGATTCATGAAGAATTCCAGCAGTAGGCTGCCGTCTCTTTCTGCGGTAGATTGGTTGACAACGAAGGTTATAGGATGAAGTCTCTCCTGCTATTTAACCCATAGCTGGTAGGAGAAGAGATGGATTACTACTTTTACCAAGGGTATCTGTGCATAAGTGAATGTAACGAACACGACTGAAATTCAGATTCAGGTTTCTGATTTCTCAATTTGATCCGTTATCCATTACACCACCCGCACATCTGTCTGTCGACCTGAAATACTTCCTTATTAGGAGAGAACGACGCAACTTATACTCCCAAAATAATAAAAAAAAACAGCGTCAAAGAAAGTGCTTTTATTATCGCTGAGCAAATTTTAAGTCTGAAATATTTAGGTAAGAGAGATCACAAAAACAACCCTGGATTTGATTTGACTGTTTTTTACGGCTTATCAACCCATTGTGGGTTATTTAAAGCTGAAAACATATAATAACATATCGTCCAGTCCATACTCCTCCAAGAGTAGAGCTGCATTCCTTGTTTTCAATTTAGGTTTGGGTTTCTGATTCCTTCTAAAGTCTACTTAAATTCTATACTTCTAACGTCTCCGCCTGAAATTTTATTAACTATTTTTTTTTCCTCAATAGGCGTATATAGAGTCGCCTATCGTACGGTTCACATTCCTCCCCGATCTTTTGAACAGAAGTAGAGATTTATCACTTGTTTTCTGTTTAGGATTGGGTTTCCATTTCCTTCTAAAGTCTTTTAATTCTCTTTGACTCTGAGTGGCCCCTTGCGTTGTAGCAGCATTATCGCCTTGCTTGGGTCGAATTGATTTAAGAAAAAAGAAAAAAAATGATACGCAAATGACGTAGTGCTGGTAGCAGACTCAGAAGGAAAACAACAAAAACTCATAGACAAGATAGCAAAGGAGAACGAGAAGAAAAGATTATTAACTACAAAAAGACAGAATATATGACCGTCAGCAAAAGAGGCAGCTAAATGTATGAGCTTCGAATTGGAAACATCGGAATCATGCAAATACAGGCGTTTAACTATGTCGGTAGTGTACTAACAGACGAAAAGAAAGTATGGCACTGAGACCCGAAGGCACATCAGAATAGTAAAAGGTGTCATATATATCCTCCATTTTTAAATTTAGGTACAGTTTAGATTAGTCAACGTTTTTTTTTTATCACTTCCTGTTCAGCCCGTAGTAATCACCGGAACCGGTAAAATAGCTCAAGTCACGTCGTCCATATTTTATTATCTTCCTAAATCTACACTACGATAGCATGCTTTTGTCAGCTGACTTTGTCGGCTGCCTTTTTTCTTTGGTCTTTACCTGTTTATTTATTTGTTATTTAGACTAAACTAGTCTCAAATATTTATAACTTTTTCTACATTCACCCATTTGGATTTTCATAAATCTGCTGATGAACTAGACTGTGTCTTCAGAGTTTTGACTGGCGTAAGGCGTTTATCTGGTTGTCTGAGGTAAGCACCCGCGTTAGACGGACACGTACACAAGAAGAAGAACAAATAATGCAACCCAAAGACACCTATCAAAATACATAAAAATTACCAGAATTTAACATTTTTTAGAACAAGCAAAATCATACCAAAAACGTTCCCAATTGATTACCAGAGCGACAATATTCAATGAACCAATAATTGTTCAATAGACTTATCTTATTGACCAATTCCAGAATTTAATGTTAAGACGCTCGTCTAGGTCAGGTAGTTTGAAACTTTTGTTCATTAAATTCTTTCTTTGAATATAAAATATTCAAAGAAAGAATTTAATGAATTTTTCTTTTTGTATGGATGATTTTTATTATATTAATCGAGATTATGATTTTTATTATATTAATCTAGAATTATTTCTATGTGTGAATATACGAAACGGAGTTTTAGACTATTCGATTTGTTAAATCCTTGCGTGTGTGTATGTAGATTACTGCACTGATTATTTAGTGATCGTCTGTGTGTTTATATATACAAATATATTCCTACTACGCTACCTACAACCACATTACGATTCAAGAGACAAAAATAATATACCCTAATTTAATAATAAATTTTGTTTAAAATAATAAAAGATAGAACCGATACCAAATTAAATAAATAAAATAATAATATCATAAAAATATATAATCAATGTATCAAAAACTAACTCGAATAAATTAAAACATTCGTCCTAAACAAAAAGAGCTGGGAAAGGCTGGTTTTCCTTTTTCTTCTTTTTTAATAGTCCCGTAGTGGTCTATATATGGAGCATGCACGATGATCGCTTGAGGCGTGAAACTGACTATCACATTATCGTTCTATATATATTAGGTTGTCATGGATAAATTCCGTTTTTGTTTATTAAATTTATTCTTCAATAAAATAAATCTCAGTTAAATTTTATTCAATTATATATTCAGCATTATTTGCAATGACTTGACACTTATTAGACAACTCTTCGATATATTTTGTATAAAATTCCACAGGTTTTAAAAAGTTTTCGGAAAACTGCTGAATTTGATTTTAATTAGAGAAATTTTTTCCTATTAAAACGTTTTGCAACGATCGAAAAAGATAATAAATAATCAGTTGGGGCAATGTCAAGCGAATATAGCAGGTTGGGTGGAACAAGCTAACCGAGTTCCATTTTGTTTCCTGTGTTATTCTTGCGATAATCAGATTTTTTTTGTCATGGAAGAGAACACAGTTTTTCCTATTAACAATCGCAGGGCGTTTTTTTTACCAAACCTTTTAAGGACACGTCGAAGCTGCTGGGTGTATAAATGTGTATTTAATATTTCATTACGTTATAAGAACTCTGAATGAATAATATCCAAAGGAACACACCACACGCAGAACATTACCTTTCTTCCTGGCACAGGGCCCGTCTCTTTGCTGGTGGTACCACGGCTACGATTAGCTTAGACCAGCTCTAACCAGCTTGGACAAGCTATGACCAGCTAAGACAAACATAGACCAGCGACCCGAGTGAAAGCACTCGGGTCCCCACGTTAAAAACTGACCTTGTGTCACAACCTGACACAGTGAGGAGTCAAGTAAATCTCCATTACCTTTCTTCCATGGAAGCTCAGCATTTGGTGTCGGCTGTGGAGATTTATCCTTGTGAATCGACTGCCTTTTGCGTTAAACACTACCGTATTTTAGTAGACTCCTAACTTCTTAACTGTTATGTATCATTAGTAGGTAGGATTCGTTGAATGTTATGGACAAGGAAAATCTTTATAATTTTACAGATCGCGACAGCTATTAGGGTTTGTTTAATGGGCACAACTTTTTTCCTGATAATATTTTTTTTTGTCAAAAATCTATTTCTGGTAATATTTTTTCCTCAAAAATCTATATCTGGTAATACTTTAAAAAATGTATTGCTGTTGATATTTTTTTCAAAAATATATTGCTGGTAATAGGTTTTTTCCTTCAAAAATTTATTTCTGGTAATAATTTTTTAAAACCTGTTTTTACTCTTTCATAAAACTTTTTACCTCAGTTTCGGGGTTAACATTTTGCCCTTAGCTGGGACCCTAACAGGTGCTACCACCCCGAGTCAAGGCGGACCTGGGAACACCAGCAATTAAGAAGTGGTTCCACGCTCCTCAAAACCTCCTGATCAGAGGCCTTGCTGTTGGGCATAGTTTCTCGTCTTACCCTGGACGCGGATGTAGACATTAGGGAGATGTAATTAAATATACTTTAATGTTTCTAAAATTTATTAAGTATTATACATTGTTTAAGTATTTATAACATAGCGTTAACAGCTATATTGTGGAAAAAGGAATTTTCGACAATATACGCATTTTTTTACGTATATAATAATTTACCATTTTTTTTAAAGTAATAATTATTTATGCTCAATTGTTGACATAAATAGGTATCTGCTGGTGTGTTAAAATTTTGGAATAATGCAATAATAAAATTTTAAATTTAATCTCTCAGATAGATGCCGCGATCTGTTAATTCAGTTTTTCTAATGTTCGTTTTTTTTTACTCTGTGGGGAGGGGACTAAGATAGTAGAGACTGTGTAGATAACATTGTCATTACCAAAACATCTAATTGTAAAAGACGTTTAAAGATAATTGAAGTATTTGATATAAATCAGTTTAGCCCGGGCTTTTTCGTTTAAACTGGGTGGTGATTTAAAGGCACCCCAACATAGAATTACCACTAGTCTCATCCAGCACAGCTTACTATTACTACTTTTACTACTACTACTACTACTACTACTACTACTACTACTACACAATGCAGCTTAGAATATAAACTCAGAAATATATACTAAAAACGAACCCCATGAAAATGGCTAATGAGCTGTCTTTGGGACAATAATCTCTGCAGACAGTTTCTACATCTTCTTGGCTGCAATAAAAGAAAATCTGTAAGAAGATTAGAAAAACTGAATAAAAAAATAAAATAAAAATAATTTTCCACAGGGCCATGCAGACGATTTTGAGCTCTGTCAAGGCTGGGAAGTGAGGATTGAGCAACTTCAGGCCGGATATGTCATCAATAGTCCATTTTTGGTCTTATTTTATTGACAGGAAGAGGCTTACGGACATTTCGCGTTGAAACACCCGTTCTTGTTCGATCAATGAAATTAGGCAACGTCGAGCCTAGTTAATGTCTAGATGGGTGACCGTTTGAAAATACCAGGTGCTGGAATTTTGGATGTGCCGGTGGCGAAATGGATAACGGTTCGAAATTAGAGATCGGACATTCCTCATATTCACTTACGTGCAAATACCTTTGGGAAAATTATGAATCCACCTCTTCTCCCTCCATCTATGGGTTAATTAGTAAGACTTGTGCCAATAAACCATTATTATCCCAAAAAATTGTTACAGTCTAAAATTATTTTCTGGTTTTAAACAACCTTTAACAGTTGATAGTCCGTAAAAAACAAATCAGTCAGTCTTGGCAAAAGGAGTCTGACAGTTTAATTGATTGATTGATTCGTTTTCAACGGCTTTGCAGGTTATATAAAACAAGAAAATATTAGATTGTAAGACTTATTGGAGGGGATATAATAATGATTTAGTGATTGAAGCATTACAATTTAACCCATAGCTGGGGGAAGACAAGGTGTATTCATATAATTTCCACAGGGTATTTGTGCGGAAGTGAATACAACGAACCCAATTGAACTCTCTCCGAGTAACAATTCCAAGTTATTCATCCATTTACACCACCCGCACAGTCAAGTATAAATCAGCTGGAATTCCCAATAGGTTACACATCTAGGTTATGACAAGTCTTGACGTTGCTTAACTTCGGTGAGCATACGAGAACCGGTGTTTCAACCCGATATGGCCGTAAGCACAGGAGGATTTTGATACTGGTGTATATATATATATATATATATATATATATATATATATATATATATATATATGTATGTGTGAGTGTGTGTACGTGCATGTATACCATGTTATAGTTGTGTCGTTATTTGGTATTCTACAAAGTACTATCCAAATATATATATATATATATATATATATATATGTGTGTGTGTGTGTGTATGTGTGTGTGTGCAATGTTATAGTTGTGTCGTTATTTGGTACTCTACAAAGTACTGTGATCATGAAAAACAAAATGACTTATTATGACATCTAGTTTCGACCATCTTCTTCGAAGTAGTCCCCTTGTGTACTGCTCGCAAAAGGTAGCTGCAAAATTTCGTACTACTACACGGTTCACGTACGCTGATCGAATTCCCCGAACCTTTGGGTAGCACCGCATATGAGTCAGCGCACGTTCAGGGGAGGGGTGGGCTGGAAGGGTTCGGGGTAGCGGCTTGTAATCCTCCCCCGAATTTGACGTTCCAACGGATATGCGTGACTGCTGAAAAGCAGAATTACAAATCTGTTCATGATTTATATTTGGTTTTTGTTGCAGCCGATCGACTGCCATTAAATCCCTCCCTCTCTCCCTCTCTCTCTCTCTCTCTCTCTCTCTCTCTTTCTGCACATACCCGCATTCACATTTTCAGCCGGATTCATCCTTATATATTTAAGATTATCGACTCTCGTTTGCGGGCGTATAAACGCATTCATTCGAACGCTATGGCACACAGACTATGTCACATGCGTAATTATTGAATCAGCTTAATATACACACAGACAGAGATACTCATACACGTACACACACACACACACACACCTGTACACATACGCAAAACGATTCATATACACAACAAACACACGCGCACTGCACACGCACGCGCGCGTACGATATCACGCAAGACAAGCTACCCCACACGCAATGGAAGTCATACACCACATATACGCAGAAACGCGCACACATACACACACAGACGCTCCACAGCACAGAGACACGCCCGGCGCATACCATATATACAGTTCTAGTTCGGTTAGTAAATAAATTGACTGTCTACTATCGCCAATGATTTATTTAGAAGATCAAGTACTTGACTGTCTCACGACTGAATATCATCGAAACCTTTCTACTGTAAAAGACTAATAAGGTGATAGTAAGTGTCTTGGCACACGCACACACGTACACACACAAGCACACATACACATATATAACGTATGACCCATCGATTTAAAATCACCTCAAGTTTGTCCTGAAAAATTAAAAATTGGAACGACGTAAATAAATAAACGAACAGAAAAGAAATAAATAAAATGAAAAGACACTTACGAGTCTGCAGGACACAGGGGAATTTTTCGATGTTTCTGCAAAAAAGGAATGTTTTCATCGCCAGATAACACAATATATAGAGAGAACACCTCTCAAACATTCCTAAAGCATACACAAAGGGTGCTGTTCCTTAGCCTATGAGTGAGATGGGTGCGTTTCAAACTGGCCTTAAATGTCATCGAAGGCACAAACAGATGTAGGGTATTAAAGGCAAGATCTATTGTACCCTCATCATATATATATATATATATATATATATATATATATATATATATATATATAGTAGTATACAATAAAATGCAACATAACCTCATATGGGGAATTTTGGATTTTATTGTGTACTACCATTTATTACCCCGTAAAAATAAAGCTCTTTTTTGGGATTAGATTTAATATTTTATATCACTAGAATCAACTTGGATTATATACCAATGGATTTTTTTCTTTTACTATATATATATATATATATATATATATATATATATATATATATATATATATATATATAATTCCAATAAATTATTTTCACCATAATATATATATATATATATATATATATATATATATATATATATATATATTATGGTGAAAATAATTTACTTGACTTATTCAAAGAGATATACTTAATAAAAGGTTAATTTTAAAGAATTTCAAGATGTCAATTCATCCAGACAGGACTGAATAACACACCTACCCGTAACCTCCAACTTATATTTCTCACTTACCTGCTTCAGCCTTGACCCGTTTTTTGATTGGTTAACCTAGACATACCCATAAAACTTGGAAATCTTGCCCCCTCCTTTTTTTAAATCTTAAATAAGCTACAGTATTTTCTGTTTTCAAAAGTAAATCATTTTCATCATAAGTTACCTAATATCGCCTGATGATGGGACAATTTTAAGTTCCGAAACAGAAATTTTTATGTAGCGATATAAAATATCTTTTAAATAAAAATATTATTAAAATATTTTGCTCTACGTTGTATTGAGCATCATTTTTTTGAAAAAAGAAGCAAATGCTAAAGAACGGTAGATTCTTAATCTGCCTGTTCTTTCTCTTTTTTATTTATATATATATATATATATATATATATATATATATATATATATATATATATATATATATATATTGTTACGAACCCCACCTAAATTTATTATAAAAACTATACCATTGCTTATAGAAGAATTCTAAAATAAAGAGCTCAGTACTTGCAGAAAACGTAAAGATAGGAAACCCAAAGAGATAAGGTAGACTTAGTGGCAAAAAAAAGTACATTCTGGTTAATCTTTGTTAACCAGAATGTACATTTTTTTCTCTTTTGGTCAGCGTGTTGACAGCATGATTTACATGGATAGATTCCAGATAGGAAAAGTTGAAACACTTTAAACTAAACTTTCTCTGACACCGCAGATGACAGAGGGGGTCAATGACCTCATTTCGCCCACAATGGAAAAAAGTTCGTATTTGAAAATTTACCACGTGACAGGAAAAAAAACCCCCAAAAAACAATAGTGAAACGAAAAAGTTAGTCTTGTCCAGGCCTTCGGGCCAGACGGGCGTGTTTGCGAGAATATGAGAAAGAGACTCCATCTTCGAATGGAATAGATGGACGCGTTTGCCATGAACGCAAAAGTTTTGGTTGGTTATGCAGAAAAAGAAAAGCTCCTCTTCGAATCGAACGCACGACTAATCGCCAGCGCGATGAACGCGAAAGAAATGTTTGGATTCTGGGAAATAAACTACGACGTACGCAGAATGCCGCTACATCGACACGAAAAAGAGATAGAAGACCGCTTCGATTTATCCGTCACCCAAGTCCCGAGACCAGACGCTTATAAAAAAGAAGGAAGAAAACGAGAAAAGATCTCAAAAGGAGATACTTATGAGAAAAGGAAAGAAAGGAAGAAAAGATCCCAAAGGAGAATGCCGCCACACTGATAGGAAGGAGAGAGAGAGAGAGAAAGCAGTTTCAACTTAATCGTCGCCCAATCCCCTAGACAGGACGAAAAGAGAAAGAGAGGAAGCAAGAAAAGACCTCAAAAGGAGACGCTTATAAAAAGAAAAAGAAAAGAAAAAAGAAAAAAGAAAAAAGAAAAAAGAAAAGGAAATAGATAAGAGACATTAGCGGAAAAGAACTTTTATTACAAGATAAGTTCGTTGTTTTTCTTGTGCTTCATTTTGTTTATATACTTGTTTTTCATGTTTTTACTTTCATGCAAGTCTAGAATGAGATCCTTTTTATGACATGTATCTTTCTACTTGTCTTAAAATGTTGATGTTTTGTAAATTCGTGCAAGTATGGCACAAGGTCATACGTTGATTTGTGTTTTACCTTTCTAAGAGGATGTTCCCCTCCCACTATTTTGTCCACAATGTTTAAATAGATCCAATTTTAAAAAATAAACCAGTTTGTCAGATGATCGCAAAAGCATGAAACCCAGGTTCACAAACACAACTTATATATATATATATATATATATATATATATATATATGTATAAAAGTGATAGAAATTATTAGGAATATTTAAGATAATCATAATTAAGTCATTCGTCGAGTCTTAGAAGAAACCTCAACAGAATGCAGAAAGCACTGGACAGCCGTTTTGTCCTATAATTGAGGCTCACTACCGAGAATTGAACCCGAACCATAACGATACGACGCAAGCATCAGACCAACGGGCCTCGGTGACGAATTAGACTCAATATAGTGCCGCTCTTCATACACACATACACATACACACACATACACACACACGCGCACACACACACACACATACATATATATATATATATATATATATATAAATATAAAACAGAACTATAGAGAAATTTTACATTGAAGTTGGAACAGAACAAGAATCGAACGCTTTTGTTTGTTCTTCACTAAGAGTTCTGTGAATATGTCATTATTGGTAAATTTTGCGTAATCTGTTATAACGCTTGTCTTCCTGTCTCACTCTGAGGCAGATTCACTTGTCATGTCCATCATTTTGAATGTTAGTGAAGCGACGAGGATTACGACGGGGGAAAGGCGTCTCAAAATTAATGCTCTATATCGATCTTCGACTTCACAATTTTTAAGCATCTGTCGTTTCAGCTATAAAACGACTCCGCATGAACAATCACCATTAAAGCACGGTCATAGATTTATCTTGTCAGGAGCTAATGAGCGTCGACATTCACAATCAGATGTCAATGGTAGACGAGTCTTTGTACACACAGACAAACACACACATGATTAGTAGTTACTTATATATAAAGTGCGTACACTCATGTCAACATGGAATGACGATAGTTTGTTTCAATTTAGAATGCATGAAGATTGCGTTCAAGCATGGAACAGACTGTCGTCACTCTGTGTTGACATCAGTGCTCACACTTATTATATTTCAACATCATCTCATCTTTGTCGTCATATTTATTACAACGTTTCGGCCGTTGTACGCTCTCGGCTTTCATCAGGTGGTTGGAATGTCGAACTGAACCTTTTATTTCGCTCACTGGGGTAGACTGTTCTAGTTCCACGTACCATGTTTAATGGATGTCAGTTATCAGTTATCTCCTGTTAATTCCCCCAAAGAGTCAGAGTTCAATAACTGGTTAAGGCAGTAGGGAACTTTCAGAGGTGAATTAACAGGAGATAATTGATAATGGACATCCATTAAACATGGCACGTGGAACTAGAACAGTCTACCCCAGTGAGCGAAATAATGGGTTCAGTTCGACATTCCAACCACCTGAAGAAGGCTGGAGCGTACAACGGCCGAAACGTTGTAGTAAATATGGCGACAAAGATGAGGACAATAGTCCGAATAATGTCAATAGTTTATCAAAGCAAATGTAAGGGACATTTGCCTTGATAAAGTCCCTTAGTGGACGAAACGTGTCGGTTAGTTTTTCCTCTTGTATTTTTATTCATATATATATATATATATATATATATATATAGAGAGAGAGAGAGAGAGAGAGAGAGGGAGAGAGAGAGAGACAGAAAGAGAGAGAGAGAGAGAGAGAGAGATAGATAACTCTGATAGCGTGATTATTAGAAATCTTGTCTTGCTGGCTAATAAGTCAAGTAATAATTTCTCAGTGGATGTCCCACTGTTCGCTGAGTGTCAGACATAGATTGATTTTAATGCTATGTCCCTTCAGGACATAGACGGTCATGATGCTCCAAAGATTTATTTGTTACTTGCTTATAGCCATGAATTCTAGAGAAAGATAGTGGAGTGATATCCTGATACCTTCACCACAATTTTGAATTCAGAATAGTTAATTTTTCTAGATTGGCTACCGTTCAAAGTTTGAAAGCCCAATCTTCACTGTTGTTTAACCTGCATCTGGGGAAAGAAAAGATATATTCATCCCTTTTCCAAGAGCAATAGACTCGATTCGCCGATTCCACACTTTGCGTCGACAGCCATAACGCTATCC